TTGGTGTCTGGTGCAGAGTAAGTTCTCTAACTTTAGCTTTTTCTTTTTTAAAAAAATTTCCCAGCAAGCATCAGGTTTCAAAATTGAGTTATGCAAAATCAAAATTTATATCAGTGCAGCCCAGCTGTCTAGTATTTTGAGTTCATTGAAAGAAATCAGATAGTGAGATCTTAACACTAAGTGCTATGCCTTCTTCAGTCTTTACATTCAGTAAGAGCAATGACCTACTACTTTAAGTCCCCCAAATGCTCATTTATTTTCAGGTTCTCCACTGGTTTTCAAGGTAACTGGCTATATTAAATGATAAGATGGGGGCAGTAAAGAGGTTATATAGTCTTTTCTTTAATATATTTTTTATTGTTGATAGTATTACAGATATCTCCCATTCCCTCCTCCTTTCCCCACACCGCCCAGTCCTTACCCACTCCCCAGGTCTTCACTACCCTATTGCCTATGTCCATGGGCTATGCATATCTATATTATAAAAGGCCAGTGGCCAGAACTCTGGAATGACCAAATGACCAGTCACCAGGAGATGCATTGATGGTTCCTGAGGTGGCAGTAGGACTCTGGGTCCCACGGTGTGGTTGGACTCTGGGTCTAGTGTGATTTTGCACGCTGGGCCTCTAGTAAGTATAGAAGTTCTTTGGTTATCTCTTCTCTTATCCCCAACCCCAGGTTAGATGTTCTTGATGTGTCCAAGAAGGACTCATTGAATGGGTTATTGGGCGATCTTCCATTTGTGTATTAAAATTGATTCAAGTTAGATGTTTATGTTACATAAGCTCTTGGAGAGTAGGGACCATTCCCTATTGAGCTTTGCATCCTCGGAATTTAGCAGGCACAGGGTTATTTCTACATATAAAAAGCCAGCGACCAGAATGCCAAAAGACTGGTCACTATGAAGCCCACTGTGGCTAGACAACAGGCCGGATTGGGGGTGGGACTGGCCAGTCAACCACCTGTCGCCCCTCCCCCCCACCGGCCCAGCCCCCCAATCAGCCCCCATTGGGACCAGCTGGACCCCTTCCCCCTGCATGAATTTGTGCACTCAATAACGGAGAATGAAAATAGAAATGATCAAAGTCATACTGTAACATAAATCATTAAAAAGATAACATCTGGCAGTTTGGCTATGGAAGAGCTATTAAAAGACAGCAACTGGAGTTTGAATCTGTGGAGAGGCATTACATTTCCTGGATGAAAAAAAATCAGAACAATGTCTTCCTAATGATAACTCTAAACAGAATCCCAAGGGACTTTTTAGAATTAGACCAAGTGACTTTGAAGTTCATTTGTAACATTAAATTTCTAAAAATAGCCAAGAAAAACATTTACAATAGCCATAGTGAAGGGAGATTGCCCTCTTTAATCCAACAGGAAGTATGATGGTGACACAGGAAGAGACGGATAGATAACAGGCGCTTGAACACATGCAGCTAATATGTGGCATAAGGTGTGTGGACTCAGCTCAAAAGAGTCAGGAGGCCGAAACTGGTTTGGCTCAGTGGATAGAGCGTCAGCTTGCGGACTGAAGGGTCCCAGGTTCGATTCCGGTCAAGGGCATGTACCTTGGTTGCGGGCACATCCCCAGTAGGGGGCGTGCAAGAGGCAGCTGATCCATGATTCTCTCTCAACGATGTTTCTAGCTATCTACCCCTCTCCCTTCCTCTCTGTAAAAAATCAATAAAATATATATAAAAAAAGATTTTTTTAAAAAAAAGTCAGGAGGCTTGGGCTAGCAAAAATGGGATTTATTCAAGACTTAGGTCATTCAGCATCACAGTAAGCATAGTGATTATGTTTTAACTCAGCACTGAGAAAGAAATGAACAAAAAATGATGGCCAGCTTCTCTTTCACGGATGAGTGCACTTGACTAGGCAGGCCATGCTTTTGACTGGGCAGGCCTTCAAAGTTTAGAAGACGAATGTCAACGTCTTCATGGCAGACTCAGAAGGCTCCAATAATGCTACTAGAGAAAAGCAGCGGAGAAGCTGGAAAATGTTACCATCACTGTGGGTTTTGTTATGCATCAAAGAGCTCATTGAAAAGATCACTCTTTTAAAACATGAAGGGCTAATAAGCCAAAGCTGTAAGAAGTAAGACCCATTACTTCTGCAAGTGAGATGAATACTTGGCAATTATCAGAGGTGACCTAGAACTGTATTCTTTTTCTCATCCGCTACCCCCCACTGCTTTGCTCCTGGCCTTACATTTGCAATTTCTTTGGAAATGGCACTTCCTGGTAGACTCATTAAAATCAACAATCCCCAGTTCTTCCAGTACCCTCCCACACGTTTGCTTCTCTAGGTTTCAACTTTATTAGGTGTGGCCAAATTGCTTCCCTAAGTGGTGCACCAGTTTATACACTTGTGATCAGAGCATGAGAACGGAAGTTGCTCCATTGCCAATACTTTTATCACAAATTAGCATTGTTAGACTTTAAAATTTTTGTCTCTCTGGAGGTGTGAAATGGTAATTTCTCATGGTTTAAATTTCCATTCACTTGATTATGAGTATTACTTATAAAAAATGATAAGGCATATTATTATAAGTTATTTGGCCAGCCAGTGTTCCTATTTTGAAAAATACCTGTCTTCTGTCCATTGGCTATTGAGCTTTTATTTCTTAATTGATCTATGATGTTTACATCACCAGTATAATAACGCTGTGTTGCTTATTAGTTACAAGAATCTACTCCCAGTCTGCCTTTCTGAAATCTTTCTCAGAAACATTTTGTTTTAATTATATTTTATAACCACCGGGAGACTAGCTTTGGCTGTATTTGTCTTTTCATTTATTAATGGTGTCTTTGGATGCACATGAGGTTTTTATTTTAATATAGTCAAATTTGTCTGTTTCCTATATGATTTATATTTATCGTCTCATTTTAGAGACCTTCTCTTAGCCCAATTTTCTCTTAAGTTAATATTTGTCAGTATTTTAATCTTTTGCTTTTCATAAATAGATCTTTCATTTATCTGCCATTCCCCGCTCCCCCTCCCCCAACCTCTTTTCGGTAGGATGTACGGAAGGGTGTATTTGTTTTGTGTTGTTTTGGTGATGCTATGAGTTGTGAGGGAATTTCCCCCCATTGTGATCAGCACTTGTCCCAGTAGCCTTGATTATATTGTCCATCCATTCCCCAGAGGTTTGAAAAACATTTGTTGTCCCATGTTAAGTTATACATTTATTCATGGGCCTGTTTCAGGGTCCAACAGCTTTTTTGCACTTGGAGAAGGTGAGAGTTGGTGGGGCTGTGCCAAAAGTGTACTTTAAAAGAGATATACAGTGAAACTGGTTTGGCTCAGCGGATAAAGCATCAGCCTGTGGACTGAAAGGTTTTGGGTTCAATTCCGGTCAAGGCCATGTACCTTGGTTGCTGGCACATCCCCAGAAGGGGGTGTACAAGAGGCAGCTGATCCGTGATTCTCCCTCATCGATGTTTCTAACTCTCTATCGCTCTTTCTTCCTCACTGTAAAAAAATCAATAAAATATATTTAAAAAAAACAGATATAAAAATGGCTGCAGAGTACCAATGGATTATATTTTATCATGTAATATCACAAAAAGGAAAAAGATATTGATCACAATCTCGATGACATTTTTTATGATGGCCCACTATATAATTTATTTTTATTTTTTATTTTTTAATATATTTTATTGATTTTTTTTTTTACAGAGAGGAAGGGAGAGGGAGAGCTAGAAACATCAATAAGAGAGAAACATCGATCAGCTACCTCCTGCACACCTCCTATTGGGGATGTGCCCTCAACCAAGGTACATGCCCTTGACTGGAATCGAACCTGGGACCTTTCAGTCGGCAGGCTGACGCCCTATCCACTGAGTCAAACCGGTTTCGGCGTAACATTGAAATTTGATATCCATAAACACTATAGCGTGCTCACCACCAAAAATCTAGTTTGCATCTATCTCCATTCGTTTGACATCCTTTATCCATTTTGCCTTCCTGTCCCCATACCCCTTTCCCTCTGGTAACCACCAAGCTATTGTATGTATCTATGAGTTTGTTCTTGTTTTGTTTGATCATTATTTTCTTTTTTGTTTTGCATTCCATATATGAGTGAAGTTATTCAGTTTTTGTCCTTTTCTGTCCATCCATGTTGCCACAAATGGCAATATTTCACCTTTTTATGACAGAGTAGTATTTCATTGTATATATATACCAGGTCTTCCTTATCCATTCATCTGTTGAGGGACGCTCAAGCTGTTCCTCTATCTTGACTATTGTAATTCTGCAATGAACATAGGGGTACCTCTATCTTTTTGAATTAGTGTTTTCATATTCTTTGGATAAATAGCAAGAAGAGGGATTTCTGGGTCATATGGTAGTTCTATTATTAATTTTTTAAAGAACTTCCACACTGTTTTCCATAGTGGCTGCACAAATTTACCATTTCACTAGCAGTATTAAAGGGTTCTCTTTTCTCCAAATTCTCTCCAATACTTGTGATTTCTTATCTTTTTAATAATAGCCATTCTAACAAGTGTGAAATGATATCTCACTGTGGTTTTGCTTTGCATTTCCCTAATAATTAGTTAATTTCACTATCTTTTCATGTGCCTGTTGGCCATCTGTATATAGTTCTTGGAAAAGTCTTTAATCAGATCCTCTGCCCATTTATTTTTATTTTTAATTTTTAAAAATATATTTTCTTGATTTTTTACAGAGAGGAAGAGAGAGGGATAGAGAGCTAGAAACATCGATGAGAGAGAATCATCGATCAGTTGCCTCCTGCATAACCCCCACTCGGGACGTGCCCTCAACCAAGATACATGCCCTTGACTGGAATCGAATCTGGGACCCTTGAGTCCACAGGCCGATGCTCTATCCACTGAGCCAAACCGGTTTCGGCTGCACGTTAAAAAAAAAAAGTTTTTAAAAAGTTTTTTGTTGTTGAGTTTTAATAGTTCTTTAAATATTTTGGATATTAACCCCTTATTAAACATATGATTTGCATATTTCCTATGTGTCAGATCCGAGCAAGGGGACCAAGTGAACCAAGATGACTGTAGGCCCTCAAGAAGATCCCCCAATCTACTTCGGGAGACTTACTCATGCATATAAAATAGTGTGCTGGCTTCTCACGATCCTGCATGGTGTGCCCCATGGACACTTAAAACAATGCAAGTAACAATCTAAAATGGAAAAAAAAAAAGGGACAGGAAAAGGAGGGAGGGAGGGTTGTTAAAGCACTTGGACAGACACTCTGATGGTTAGGTGGAAGATACAGTGAAGCTGTATATTTTTCAGATTTCTTCTTTTTCTTTTTTTATTCATTGTTTCAGATAGAAATGTTTAAGGGAAACAGCAGGGAAGGGCTGCCAGGAACATAGCAATTTGGTTTCCCAGGATCATTATATTTAGTACTTTAATGTCTAGCTTTTGAGGTGGGGGTGAGGGGTGTTGAATTTAAGAAAAAGTAAACAGTTGTTCTTAATTATACCATACCGTGGGACTTGGTGTACTCGCTTCAAACAAAAATAATCCAGCCTTTTCCACCATTGCAGGAATGTCAGTGATTAAACAGAATTGATCATCTGAGTGGATGTGATTGGGGATTATTACAGTTAAATAATGCTTAGCCTTTGAGAGGAGCAGTAAACTCCGAGTAGAATATCGGCAAGTCAGCCTATTGTGTTATACAGTATTTAATACCTACTTTTCTGTTTACAGAATGTATTACATTTTTGAAATTCATATATCACCTGATGAATTTTATGCAACACTAACACAGTAAAATATTCCTGGAATTCAGCATGTTGAAAAATATTGTCTCCTTAAACAAATGAACTTGTATAAATTGCTTTAAGAACACCTCACTGAGGTCTTTTCCTTTTGCTTTGGCTGTCCAAGTCCTTGATTGCAGTAGGCAGCTCACCCCCCCACCACTGATATCTGTATTTCTCTGCTTAAAAACAGTTCTTGCTGAACCGGTTTGGCTCAGTGGATAGAGCTTCAGTCTGCGACTGAAAGGTTTCAGGTTCGATTCCTGTCAAGGGCACGTACCTTGGTTGTGGGCACATCCCCCATAGGGGGTGTGCAGGAGGCAGCTGATCGATGATTCTCTCTCGTCGATGTATCTCTCTATCCCTCTCCCTTCCTCTCTGTAAAAAATCAATAAAATATATTAAAACAACAATAACAACAACAAAAAACAATCCTTGCAGTTTAAATCTATTTGGGTAGGTTTGATGCCAAAGGATTTAAATTGTAATGAGCCCTGGGTCCTGGTTTCAGAGGGTTTCTCCCTGGCTCTCTTCTGGCGCTGCTCCTCACCACGGGATGACGGGTCTGCAGTGCCACGGGGATGTGCCTACCTCCCCTTCCAGAATAGTCTGTGTATTCCAACACTTGACGTTTTGTGTCCAAATTGCTCAGAGCCCACTTAGGGTCCACGGGCATATCTTTCTCAGTTAGCTATCCCATCATCCTTATGGAAGACTTTGCTCAGGCTCCAGGGGCTGGGAGATGGTGACGGTGCTGCTGCTGCTGGTGGGTGTGTGAGCAGAGAAAGGGGAGGGGGCCGAGAGTCCTTTGCTACCGTGTTTTTGCATGGAACTTCAGAGTCTGAGAATTTGGAATTGGAACCTGGCCTTCCAGGTGGATAGGAGATATAATTCCGAGTTAGCAGGAGAGAATGTATTTGATTTAACATTTGGAGCCTGATTTGCAGCTTGAAATGCTATGCGGAGCCCGGCCGGTGTGGGTCAGTGGTTGAGCCTTGACCTATAAACCAGGAGGTCATAGTTCGATTCTCGGTTAAGGCACATGCCTGCATTGCAGGCTCCATCCCCAATGGGGGGCGTGCAGGAAGCAGTGATCAATGACTCTCTTTCATCATTGAGGTTTCTATCTCTCTCTCCCTCTTCCTTCCTCTCTGAAATCAATACAAATATATTAAAAACAAATCAATGCTATGTGAATGGACCTCCATTTGTACTCTGGTTTCAGGTCCCGCCATGTAGGAGTGGGTTTAAGGAACTATTGTATATTATATTTTTAAAAACACAGACAGGGAGTACTCATTAAGCTATGATTGGAGGAATCATGGCAAATATTATAGTGTGTCAAACAAAATTTTATTTTTTAAAATATATTTCATTGGCCGAAACCGGTTTGGCTCAGTGGTAGAGTGTCGTTCTGAGGACTGAAAGGTCCCGGGTTCGATTCCGGTCAAGGGCATGTACCTTGGTTGCGGGCACATCCCCGGTAGGGGGTGTGCAAGAGGCAGCTGGTCGATGTTTCTCTCTCATCAACGTTTCTGGCTCTCTATCTCTCTCCCTTCCTCTCTGTAAAAAAATCAATAAAATATATTTAAAAAATATATGTATTTCATTGAGTTTTTACAGAGAGAAAGGGAGAGGGATAGAGAGTTAGAAACATCAATGAGAGAGAAACATCGATCAGCTGCCTCCTGCACTCTCCCCACTGGAGATGTGCCTGCAACCAAGGTACATGCCCTTGACCGGAATCGAACCTGGGACCTTTCAGTCTGCAGGCCGATGCTCTATCCACTGAGCCAAACTGGTTAGGGCAAGACTAAGAGATTTCAGTGTCTGAAGGAAGTTGGCCACCTGGCTGCTTGCTTGCTATTCAGAGCTGAGACTCTGGTGCTCCCTGAGCAATCTGCTCTGTTGCTAAGGTGGCCTCTGGATAGAGATGGGTGACAGTGTCTGGGGGGACCCTCCCTTTCAGCCAGTTCTTTTTCTCTCTTATTTGGGGATGGCTAAGAAGAAGGAAAAGCAAGAAAAAAAAAATCTTAGTTTCCTTTCTCCATTTATAGAAGATGCCCTACTTAATGTTCATGCATCCTTTTTATGTTCCACTGAGTATCGTCTTGGCAGAAAGTTCTAGAGAATAAGGGATGTATCTTCATTTGGTAAAAACCAGGCTCAGTGTATCCAGAGACCACTTGACATTAAGGAATCCACTTGCCCAGTGGTTGGCAAACTCATTAGTCAACAGAGCCAAATATCAACAGGACAACGATTGAAGTTTCTTTTGAGAGCCAAAAATTTTAAACTTAAACTTCTTCTAATGCCACTTCTTCAAAATAGACTTGCCCAGGCTGTGGTATTTTGTGGAAGAGCCACACTCAAGGGGCCAAAGAGCTGCATGTGGCTCTCGAGCCGCGGTTTGCTGACCGCGGCACTAGTGAGTTGTTATGGCCAAGGAGGTGCAAGCAAGACTCCTCAGCCACTGTCTTGAAAGAAATTTCCCTCTTGTCCTTGGTTATGTCTAGTCACTTCAGAGAAAGGGACCTTTATCAGTTCTCTATCTCTATCCCTTTCTCTTAAGCCAAATAATACTCTCAACCTAGCCTTTTCCGGCCTACTTCTGTCATCTCACTAAATTCCAGTCGCAACTATTATATCTTACAGTGTGCCTTCTCTGTCACCCCCCACCCCCACCCGGGGGTATAAAGATCTCTAAACCATGATTCCAATCCAACCCTCATATGGCTCCAAGACAGGTGGAAACCGACAGGTCTATGTTCATATCTAACTGTTCTTACTCCCCTTGGAAAGTTCAGCGAAGGCTTTTGTCCATGGTTTCCCCTCACTCCTGCCATCTGATTGATTGGAGCTTCCACATGCGGCCCTGCAGGGCATACGCCTTCCTCTGAAAACAGAGTAAGAAACTCTTCTTTCAGCCCTAACCTGTTTGGCTCAGTGGATAGAGCGTTGGCCTGTGGACTGAAGGGTCCCAGGTTCGATTCAGGTCAAGGGCATATATACCTTGGTTGCGGGCACATCCCCAGTGGGAGGTGTGCAGGAGGCAGCTGATCTATGTTTCTCTCTCATCGATGTTTCTAACTCTATATTCCTCTCCCTTATTCTCTGTAAAAAATCAATAAAAACAAAGAAACTATTCTTTCAAAGGCTGTCTGTGTGTTTGTCCTCTTACCATATCTGATTAAAACAAATCCTGAGTACATTTCAAAACAAGAGTCGGATAGATTTGAGTTCCAACTGGGCTCTGTAATTTGCCCATCATGTAACCCTGGGGATATTTCTTTCTTAAAAAAAAAAATAGATTCTTGCCGAAACCAGTTTGGCTCAGTGAATAGGGCGTCAGCCTGCAGACTGAAAGGTCCCAGGTTCGATTCCGGTCAAGGGCATGTACCTTGGTTGTGGGCACATTCCCAGTGGGGGTGTGCAAGAGGCAGCTGATCGTAATTCTCTCTCATCAATGTTTTAACTCTCTATCCCTCTCTCTTCCTCTCTGAAAAATCAATAAAATATATTTTAAAAAAATAGATTCTTATTGATTTCAGAGAGGAAGAGTGAGGGAGAAAGACATAGAAGCATCAATGATGAGAGAGAATCATTGATTGGCTGCCTCCTGCACGTCCCACAATGGGGATCAAGCCCGCAATCCGGGCACCTGCCCTTGACCGGAATTGAACCCTGGACCCTTCAGTCCTCAGGTTAATGCTCTATCCACTGAGCCAAACCAGGTAGGGCTTGGGGATATTTTTTATCCTCTGCCAGCTTCAGTGTCCTTATCTGTAAAACATGGCCAAAGATTCCTGTATCATAGGACTACTTGCTATAAGGACTGATAGTACACATAGAGTGAGTACACGCTGAAGAAACAGGAGCTAGGTGGCCAAGGAGATGAGAATATCAAGGAATGAAGTCCCCCTTTAGGCTCAGAAATAAACAAATACAATACAACACATGGAACAATAGCCTTTCAAATGTATATGTTCCTCCTCATGTTCAAATCAGGAGATAGTTTGCGTATTGCTATTTTCGTTCCCCACCTGAAAACCTTTCCCCCTGCATTCAATGATGGCTGCTGTTCCTGTTAAGGAAACGAAGCCTGATAATTAGTCTTTTCAACAAGAAAATTAGGAGAAGCATAGTTTATCGCTTTTCCTCGGCTCAAGTGTTAAGTTTGACACGCTACACCTACCTTCACTAATTGCCTGAGGTAGATAAGCACATTTGCCAAGTAATATGGCAGACGGAAAGGAGGCTGGGATTGGAAATCCCTCAGGCCTTAAGACAAATGCCTGCTATGTGACCTGGGCTAAATCACTTAATAACTCCCAACTTTAGTTTCCTCACCTGGAAAGGGAGACAGAACACTCAGCTAAGAAAGATGTTTAAAAAGATCAGATATAATGTGAGTAATGAGTCTCATTAGTGGAAGGCCTGGGACGTCAAGCCTCCCTAGTCTGAGGGACCTGCCAACAAATAATAGAGCCAGGCCGTAGCCCCCAGCTCTGAGTTTTCAGCATTTAGCTCTCCTCTCCTTCTCTCCTCTGTCCTCCCTCCCTCCCTCCCTCCTTCCAGGAGGTGGATGAATGCATTTTTCAGGATTTGAATCATTTCCTTCCTTCTCAGTGAAATTGTGGCCCACATGGGATTTTACTGCCTAAAACAGAAGACCCCGCACATCCAAACAATGACCAGATGCATTCTTGTTTGGCATAAGGCTCAGCCTCAGTTGTCATCTCCGCCACTGAAGTTGCACTGAGGTTGCAGGATTCAGTTATCTCTGAATAAATCATCTCACTTGCGGATCTTACAGGAAGAGAAACAAATGGCCGAGAAACTCCCAGCTCAGGGTGGGGCTTGGCCTATATGCAAGCTGCCCATTCTTTTTATTATTCTTACCAGAGGCCCAGTGCATGAAATTTGTGCACAGGTAGGGTCCCTAGTGGCTGTCAGCTGCCAGCCAGGACCTCCTTCCCCTGGCCACCTGCCACTCCTGCCCCCTGGTCAAACTCCCCGTCTAACTC